CGAGCCCCAAGCACGACAATCCTAAAAGTCCAGTCGTTACATCTTCCTCTTCTCATTCAGCTGAAGATCATCCATCCCTCTACCCAATCTTTTCCCTCTAATCATGACTAATCGCGTGTCTACTTGAACAGGAAGAACAGGATGCGGGTCATAGAAACCGTTAAGTTGCATCACCGTTACGTCTCTGACGCCGATTTTGTGCTTACCGGGAAATCGTCCGAGTACTTTTCTTCTGTCTGACGTGTGCCCTTTCAGTCTGCTACCTACTCTCCAACAATCGTAAACATAATCGTGTCTCATCAAGATCATCAGGTAAACCACTCCAATCTGAAAAAATTTAAAAAAAAAATACGAATGTTCAACTGAAACTTGCAAAAAAAATCGGCAATTAATTTCTAAATTGAGTGAGACAGTTGAAAATTCTAATACATCATTCCTCTTATCAACAATTCACCAGAGAAAAAATTCCAACTATGACAACTATACAAGACAAAAAAATATCAGATCCACACTTATCTCCTCACCATCATCTCCATCACTTTAATAAATTGTCCCCACAGATTGAAAAAGTCACGTCATTGTCTCCTCAATATTCAATCCCGATGTCAAGGTATACGCCTCAACTCAGCATGATCTCTCAGTATAGACTTGAAATGATTGAAAGAAAAAAAAAAAAAAACATTGGGATGAATGTTCAATGGCATCAGCAGACATCGTACTCTTCTGACTTCTGACTCTATTCTCCTATCATTGAACTCAAGGAGTAAAGTCGTTTCGATTGTACGTGCAAATAAATCCCAGCCTCTCGTAACATCTTTCCCAGTTGGTGATGCATGATTTCATGGAACTGGCTTGTATAGTTGACTGGATATCGACGCGTATATAAACGCTGGACTACGCACGCCTGTGGGAAAATGCGACGCAATGCATTATGTATTTATTGCTTTACTTAGTTGGAAATTACTTTGCTATAATGACTTTCAAACCTCCCCTCCCTCCCCTATCTCCCCTCCTTCCCCTTCCACCCCTTCCGCCCCTTCTACCCCTTCCAACTCTTCCACCCCTTCCACCTCTTCCACCCCTTCCACCCCTTCCACCTCTTCCACCCCTTCCACCCACACCCTTTTATCTGCTTTGGGTTGCGTTAAATTAAAAATTAAAAATAATTGATTTATGTATTGCATACCTGTTTTGAAGCTAAACTGCATAGACCAGTTTTATTGACAATCTGAAAATAAAATGTTAATGTTAAATATTTGATTTGTTACTTTTTTCATGGCCCTAGTAATGCACAGTTGTTGCGCAGTGCAATTATTCGAAATGAAAATGTACAAACAGTGCGCACACACCGGACGTACATAGCGTTAAACAAGATCTACATTTTATGATATATTTTTTTTTCTCCCTCTTCTATTTTTTCATTAAAGCGATAATTTCACTAATTGACCAGCCAAGTACGTGCATGTGAATTCGCAATAAATTCCCATTAATTAACGCAACTAGATATGCAGTCCATGTAAAATATGCGTATGTGTATTAAGATTGATTTTATTTTGAGATGACGACAATTAATTAATTCGTTTTCGAAATTGGAAATAATCAGCAAGATCACAATTGCACAGATTGCACAAATGAAAATATGCATCATGACTCATCTATAACTAATTTTTATAAACTATGGACAACTAGAAGACAATTAGAAATAATTTCTTTGCGATAAATTAATATCTGAAAAAATTGAATGCGCAATTTTAGTATCAATCAATCGAAGGGAAATAATCCATAAAAAAACCTTTATCTCCGCTTATCTAAATCTTAACAATTAAATAAACATAATAACGAATCAATAACCACGAGTCTTACAATAATCTCTGTTTACCGAGTCGACGATGTTTGTCGAGTGATAACTAATACCGATAGTTGCAAAATGATAAAATAATTGTACTTTTCGTTTTTGCAGATGACATTGAAGAGAAAACACATTCCAGGCTTTATTTTTATTAAAATCGATCTCATCTTGAAACGAGTGTTGCAACACTTCCTTGCAATTCGGATTCGATGACGACAATTTTTTATTTGGATGGTAATGATTTATATTGATTGAGAGGAATCGTCGATGCATAATCGATTTAATACCACTTGTGTGAAAGTTTTGGTCGTATTATATGGTGGAGGTTACGGGTTGGAAACGAAAAGAGTCGTTCGACAAGAAATGGATAAAGGGTTTATCTTAATCCACGCTTCAACGAGCAGACGAGCTTTTACCCCCAGCCAAGAGCCCCCATCCGCTCCACATAACCGATCACACTTCGGTTGTCATCAGAAATTCTTTATCTCCCACATTGAAACGAGAGAAGAAGAAGAAATTGTTATTATTTTAATTGATTCAGCGAATTATGGATAATTGTAACATAGAAATGGCTAACGAGACTGGGATGAGTGCAGTCGTAAAAATCCACTTGGCCAATTATTCTTTGATATTTTAGCGGGCATTTTGTTTTATCAACTTCAGCAGATGTACATATTGTTAAGGACGTACGGGTCTGCTGAGTCTTTAATAATTCAACGAGTAATTATATATATAAAAATTGTGAAATCCAAGAGTGACTCTAATTAACCTAAATGGCAACCGAACTATTTGATTAAACGAATGCTCATATGCTATCGAAATGCTTTCTTGAAGTAATTTCTACTTATATGCCATCCATGGAGCTCACATTACCATTGTTAAATCTCTCCTATATTTGGATATTCTAGGATTCTTCAACAGATCGTTATTAGCCTTTACTTTTAATCCCAGCCAATTAATTAGTCGTCGTTTACGAAAAAAAAAGTGATAGAGAATATTTTTTTTAGAACACGTCCCGGGGTAATATTGTTATTGAATAAAATTCAGAGCGGTCGCCATTGTTAGTCGAATCTATATCCTCTCCCTAAGAGCACTGCGATCGTTATAATTGAAGATAATTAATTCCAACTGGTGTGAGCCATATCCTATCTCATAACGACCTGTCCTAACGCGCGCTCGGGCGTGGCCATATCAAACCGATTTGATGGAAAAACTCGTAAAAACTGAAAGGAAATTGAGCCGAGTGATCCTCTCAAGAGCATGAAGGAACAATCATCGGCATCAAACCGCGTCTCCGACGATTAATCGAGTCTGTTCCGTGCAAAAACCGGAACACTGGACTATCGAAAATGGAATAAACATGACTCGACGAGCTCCTTTTACATCAATCGAACAATCGGTAATAGTTACAAATGCTCAGATAAATATCAGTTTGTCGAGACGCATATGATTTTTTAAGCGACAGGTCCCACCAATACCAGACACCTCATAGTCACCGTGATATGGCGGTTATTTCGACTCTCGACCAACCGCAGTGACTATTTATCATCTTGGGCTGCCTCGTGGCTTTCGAATCAGTAATCCTTACCGTCAACTCTTTACTGCTTCCAAAAAAAAGAAAATACAAATTATTTGAATATTTTTTGTTGTAATTTTTGTCCCGTTATTAATAAACAAAACGGAAAATCTCTTAACTATTGGGTAATTTTTACAAAAAGGTAAAAGACTGTTACTGATTTAATAGTGATATTACTTCCCCCAAAAAAAAAATTCAGAATCTTAATCGTGTGATGGAAACCTTCACATTTCAGTGTAGAATGTGGAGTGGAGTGGAACTACTACAAATAACAATAATACAGTATTAATTTTCAATTTTTTAAACAAACGTGAATTCACTTGGTGGACCTATACCAGACATCTACCCTAATTCAATAATAAAAAATGGTGGACTGCTGCCCAAAGATATATCCTCCTCTAGTGGTCAATTTGTTTAAATCCCCAAGCTAAACAACAATGCAATTACCAAATGATCGGGTAATTATTTCTAAATTATCTCGCATGCTTTCGCTCACGTCATGTAGACATCAGACTGGAGTCAATCAATAATCCAGCGACGGTGTAGCTCATGGCGAGTCCTAAGAAGCATTAACGAGGTCTCAGAATGTCTGCAAATGATGATGGAAACGGAAATGTGAAGAACGGATATGTGCGTCATCGATGCCAAAGGGTGTTTGATCAACGATCGCTAATGTAATGCTGTTTACCCACCGGGCAAGTGTATCGTTTGTTCCTGGAATTCAACACCACCTCACCTAAATGACTTATCAGCTCATGCCGGTATCCCACATTACCCATGGGAAAAATGATCTACGGCACATCGAAATCGGTTCTTACCGATCAATGAGACCAGGACTGAATGAACTAATGCAGAACGCGTTGAAATGACTTATGGTATGGTAAATGTGGTAAATATAATTGCATAATAATAAATAATAATATATTTTTTTTCAGATGGCAGTCGCAGAAGGAAAAAATAGATGAAAATGTGTGTAAAGGAGGCGAGTTACAGTACGAGGTATGACGAGGATAGTGGCAAAAACCTGGTAATTTCCAAAGGCGAACGAGACGAGGCAAATTGCGATAAGTGGTACCCTCTGTGAGCAGCGCACGTGGGAACATTAATTGTACCAGTATCTAACCCGAGTAAACGTGAAAATTCGAAAGCACGCGAGGTAATCGGACAATGTTTTTCTTCTGATTATTTGAATCGTTCCTGAATCATGTGGAAGTCACATGTTTCTGATATCTCGTCGATAATTTTTCATTTGACATTAAAATTTGAAATTGAAATTGAAATTCATTGTTAGCCATACAACACGCCGATAATATTTCTTCAAAATTTAATGAGCTATGAAATGAAGATATTTTTGAATATCCAATAGCAGCACATTCAACTCAGGAATGTGTTGTTGAAACTGAATTAATGAGCCAATGAGAACAATCCACTATTATACATATACTTCAAATTTTATAGAATAGTGTAAACATACGATTCACCTATAGGTTTGTTTTTCTTGAAAAATTATCTTGATAAGAAGGAGAGACCTTGAAGATATTGGAAACAGTATATAAAGCCCGGAAATATCCGAATCATTCCTGTACACTCTTCTGTCCCTCCGATGGACTGGAAACCTGTTGAAATCATGAAGCTCCTTCTCACCGTCGTGACTCTTTTCATCTGCTCAAATTATGGTACGTATGACGAGAAATATTCGAAATTTGTTTCTTTTCTATTTACATTACCAAATAATTTCAAAGTAAAATCATGGAAAATATAATTACGCAGGTGTTGATTCCCGTTCTCCATCAAAAATCGTGGGTGGAAAGCGAGTGGATATCACCGAGGCTCCATTCGCCGTAACGATTCGTCATAACACCACAATCGCCCGTTGCGGTGGTGTTATTATTGGGCCAAAATGGATTCTTACTGCAGCTCACTGTTTTCCATTGAACACCACGGATTATCAACGAGATCCCCGTTGGTTTCGTGTTGTTCCAGGCGTCAATGCCTATTCCCCCGATGCTAAATTCTACAAAATTAAGGAAGTTTACAGTCATCCGGATTTCGAGCCCGATGTAGACATCCTTTACGAAATAAGAGCAGATATTGCAGTTATCGAAGTAAATTGAATACTACTACTAGAATTGAAAATGCTGAAATGTTGAAGAGTTGGAAATTTATCTTATTATGTGATTAATTTCCAGTTGGAGGAAGAAATTCCATTTGATGATAAAAGCTCGGCCATCGAATTGGGACGTGACATCGTCCCAAACGATACTATGGCGATGATCTATGGTTGGGGATTGAAGGACAGACCTACCAAATCATTTACTACGTCATTGCACGGATTACCTGTGAAAATACCTAGTAGGCATCAGTGTTTACACATGCAATATGGAAAGCCACATCCTTACGATCAGATGTGTTTTTATAACTGGAATAACGGTACTAGTTGTGGTGTAAGTATAACATGATTGAGTGTAACGAAAAGAATTTTTCACGATCCTGTGGGTAAAGTGACTTTTTACACCCGCTCTACGTGTGACTAACCTCACTTTACACATATTGTGATGGAAAATATCATCCGACACTCGCAAGAAAAGTCTTTCGTGGCGTACGCTGTGTGTAAAGTGACACTTTACACTCTCCCCACACAGTGCAACGAAACACATTGTTCGATAATCATTCGTGGGATTATATCCAATCGTCTTCAGCTCGTGCTACTAACTTCCCACGGGAGAGGAAACACTTTTTCAACGAGTATCGGACGATATTTTTTCATCACAATGTGTAAAATTTCACTTTACACACTGCTATGAAAACACTTTGCGGCAATCATATCGAAATGCACTATTCTGCATTCGTATCGAAATATATTATTGCCTAACGAAATATTTTTGGCGCAGGGTGACAGTGGTGGCCCAGTAGTTGCATACAATAAAGTTATTGGTATCATTTCTATTGCACGTATCGACTGCACTACTGTAACTCCACCCCGTGCCACTTATGTTTATTTCTACAAATTATGGATTGAAAAGATTATGGCAGGCACAGGAACGGCGGTCAAAATTTCCGACGGTTGGGGCAATGACGTGAAGAAATCGTCACCAACTCCAAAGCCAACTAGAGAGCCACGCATATATGATGAGTTGTCTTATTATGAAAAGTAATGTTCATTTCTAGCTGAGTACTTTGAAATAAGCAGCTAGTGGCTATGGGTCATCAATACATATTTCTTCGGCCATTTATTTTTATTTCTATTTGACCCAGAACATCTCTTCAACATTCAAATTCAAATCTAAATTGAAATTAATTGCTAGCGATTTAGCACGGAGAGAAAATATCGAATCAAAACTCGACAGCCAAAACTCGAGTGCCTCGTTGCATCATAAATTTTTATTACATGTCTAACGCGTGTAAATTTCAACACAAATATTCAATAAAAATCACGCAAAAACATATTTTTTTGTGGCAGTTATAAAAATAAAGTTGAATTTCTTGAATTTTTCATGTGTCGTCGAGATCTTTTTAAAAATAATTGCGCAAACTTCATTAACATCCTGACTATTCTTTCCAATACCCTGGACTGATTCCACTTAATAGTTGATGAACTAAAGAGAAGAGTTCACGATTCATCACACATTGAATCTCATGGAATTGCCATAACATATTATCCACCTGTGCGTTATCTTTTACTTCAACGCATAATGATAAGAGAGACCTTGAAGGCATTTGAAACAGTATATAAAACCAATAAATAACAAGGTAAGTAATACCTCATATTTCATGAATATAAAAAAAAACTGAGTACACGTGTCTCAAAATTACCTGCCTTAAATTTGCTCGTTGAAATTTCCACATCTAATTAAGCCCTTCAAATTAAAATTCATTGTTCGGTACGAAAGTATTGACAATCGTCTGGAGACATTCAAAAGGATTTTCAGCACCAGTTAATTCTCGATAAGAATATAATTAAATATCGTTGAAGAAGAGGTGAACAAATCATTGCTCCCTGCAAAAGGTGATTGAACCAGACTCGAGATTTTAATATCAATTGTATCCACCTGATTAATTGTTTCCTGACTGTATTCTCCTCAATGCCCAATACTCATTAAACCCACTATTTACATAATTAATGAGCTAATGAATAGAGTCAATGATTGATACATCTCATTTGATGGAGTTGTTTAAACATAATCGCGATATCCAATATCTTTAAACGCACAATGATGAGACTCTGGACTATAAAACCAAGAAATATCCAAATTATTTCATTCCATTCTGCGGATCTGGTGGACTGCAAACCTGTTGGCATCATGAAGCTTCTTCTCGCCTTCGTGACTCTCTTCATCTGCTCAAATAATGGTGCGTATGATGCGAAATATTCGAAATAATAATTTTAATGTAAAATCATGGAAAATTAATTACTCAGGGGTCGATGCCCGGTCTCCATCAAAAATCGTGGGTGGAAAGCGAGTGGATATCTCCGAGGCACCATTCACCGTAATGATTCGTCATATCAAATCAATTAATTTATCGAATTCTGCAATATGTGGTGGCACTATTATCGCGAAAAAGTATATTCTCACTGCAGCTCACTGTTTTCCCCCAAATGCTAAGGATCCTCTACAGCATCCCCGTTGGTATCGCATTATTCCAGGCCAGAATTTCTACTACTCCAATGCTAAATCATACAAAATCCAGGAAGTTTATTCCCATCCGAATTTCAGCGTTGATATAACGAACGATGTCAAGGAAAGAGCAGATATTGCAGTTATCCAAGTAAATGGAGTATTACTACTAGAATTAAAAATGCTGAAATGCTGAATTCTAAATTCATTATCTGATTTTTAGCTTCAAGAGGCAATGGCATTTGATGATCAACACATGGCCATTCGATTGGCAACTCAAAAACCGTTAGACTCCGCTCACGGGATCATCTTCGGTTGGGGATTCTCCGATCCTAATGTCAGGGCTCTTTCTCATACATTGCAAGGATTACCCGTGATAGCTCCTGGCCGCCAAACTTGTAAAAAGAATTTTCCCACTGAGCAGTATGCTAATGATGAATTATGTATAGTTAACATAAATGGTGGGTCTCTCTGTGATGTAAGTATGACATGATTCAATGCAACGAAAAATATTTTTCATCACAATGTCCCGTAATGTAACTTTTCAAACAAAAAAAGTGACCAAAAAATATTATTCACAAGTCGTGCGGAAAGTGATTTTGGAAAAAATCACTTTTCCGCACTCGTTGCGAAATATACTTTTTCCGCACTTGTTGTGAAATCTACTTTTTTCGCACTAGTTGCGGAATATACTTTTTCCGCACTTGTTGCGAAATATACTTTTTCCGCGCTTATTGCGAAATATACTTTTCCGCATTCGTATGGAAATATATTGTTGCCTAACGAAATATTGTTGGCGCAGGGTGACAGTGGTGGCCCTCTAATTGCGGACGGTGTACTAGCTGGTGTCATATCGAGTGGACATAAAAACTGCCTCAATTCAACACCAGGTGTTGTCATCGACGTTGCTTATCACAGACCATGGATTAAAAACGTTATCAAAGGCACAGCACAAGCATTCAAACATTTCGCGAGTTTTAGCAATCAGGTGCTCAATTCGCGGCCAACGAAAAAACCTAAAAAGCCATACACACGGGATGAGTTGTCCTCATGGCCGCTCCTGATAACGCAATCAAATGAAATCAACTGAAGAAACGAAAGATTGTTCTATTCTGATTCAATTAAAATACGAATCTAGTGTCTATCAGTCATCAATATACAGAGAAAAAAAAATTTCATTATTTGAGAACTCATTTTTAAATATTAGAGATAATTATTTCCATTCCAATGAAGAACCCCATCTAATTGATTGAAGTTGAGGATTCTCTCTCTCGGGTGGTCCTCCAATCGTGAAAAAGTGAATTTTTTAATTGATCTTTCTAATTCCCCGGAGCTCTTGGAATACTCTTGTTCGAATTGTGGCGCGTGAATGAATTCCTAGTGATTTAACAATTTCTACCTCAGCCCATTGTGGCTTGTTCCCCATCTTTGTCTGCAGCAAGTCGATGTCCGGAACAGTTGCGTGACCACAGCGTAAACTGCCTTATTTTCTACTACTTTATTTTTTTTTCTCCCTCATTTCATTCTTGTTTTCCATTGGGATATTTTTTTTTTATAATGCTCTAGTGTAAGTGTACCCCCCACGTTTCATGACGAACGTCGTTAATCCGGTTATCGAGAGCGTCCTGCTGATTTATCAGCATCACAGGAGAGACTGCGATCAGGGGAGAGGATGGCGAAAGGGAGGGGGCGGCATTAGTTTTGTTTTATTTCCAGAATCAAGTGTAGAATACAGAATCAAATCTCACGTGTGTTGACAATATACTCACACCGTTATACATGAATTTTTTTCTCTCTCTCTCTCTCTCTCTCTGTTTTATTATAACTGGCAAGGACTTGACGTTGTTTTCACCTGTGAATTCCCACGTCACGTATTTTTCAGGGCGATTTCACGTTCTTGATGGCAACTTGAAATTAGATCGATTGAATATACTTTGAGCAACAGACGTGACAGTCTCCCTCGACTTCTCCAATGCCCCAGCGATCCGGTATTTTTCTTACCTGTAACAGATGATAAAAAGTGTGAGAAAAAGATGATGATCGGTGAGTTGTGTAACTCGATTAAACCGATAAATTCGATAAATTCAAGGAAATTAGTAGAAATGGATGTTTCATCAACTTCCGGTTATTTGAATTATAATGAAGAAGTTGGAAAAAGAGGGGGAAAAAAAATGGAGAAAAAGTGGGAGAATAATGTCCCGTGCGGAGAAGCCCGGGAGATGCGAGAGATGATCCCTCGATAACCTCCGAGTCGGCAACGACGTTCGGAGGTTCATTTTGCACAAGATTACCGTGTGTGCGCTCCTCGTTGTTAGTCCATCGCGGTTACGTACAAGGACACGCCGACCATCCCGGCCATGGTGGTCTACCCCTAACCCACCTGGTAACACTCGCTAAAACCCTTACCCCCAACTAATTAACTCCCTGGAACGAAACATCTATTTTTTCCTCCTTGAATCATAAACGCACCACCTATTCACCGAAGAAGCTTCAACCACATAAACTTTCACAATTGCCCCTTCAAGTATTTCATCTTTTTTTTTAGGCTCACATAAATACAAATAAGGTTTCACTGAAATGTTGTAAATGCACAAATAATGTATAAATAACAAAATAATGTTATTGAATTAATATGATAAAGTGTGAAGGTGAGAGCCGTGCATGGCCATTGTTATAGTATCTCAATCTTCTTTCATAATTTTTTAAAACTAGTTTTTATATATGCCCTAATGTATAGTAAATAGTGCCTTCAAGTAATATTGATTTAATATTATTGTTTATTATTACACAGTACTTTACCCAATCTTCTGCAGACATAAATAAAAATGTAGAGTTTAATATAAAAAATTCTTCGTATACATAATTAATTATTGATTAATGTAATTCGGTTTACATTAACATTTTCTTTTATACAATTTATTCAGTTGCGTATTTTCTCAGGAAAAATCAGCATGAAGAAAATTGCAATGATTCAGATCTATTGTATACGTCATTCTCGCGTCCCATCGTCAAGTCGCAAATCAAAGTGCTATTGTAAATTGATTTTATTTTCCTCCACCCTCTAGTCGTGTTCACAATGAGAATAAAATGTGAAACTGTAAATTGTGCGTGGGAAGAATCGCTCCCCAAGCGATCGTATACACGAGTTATGCTTTCTTATACACAACTGTACAATTGACGTGAAAATTCGAGGATTTAAATGCGCGGTGAGGCGAACTGGCGATGGTTTTTGTGTGGGTACGATCAGAGGGGAGCTTATGGTGTTGTGTGAGCGGCTCGGAAATTTTCGTGGGTTATATCTGGGGGGTCTATCACTCCCCAGTGAATATGAAAAGAGAATTTTGGATCGAGGCACTTGAGGTTAACCTCTACCATCTCCGTGCACACCCACAAATTTATCTCTGGAAAAAAAAACACCTGAACCCTAAACGAAGAGCAGAAAATTCCCAACTTTCTTCAATCTACCTCAGATATCATTTTTATCCACACATTCAATTGAATTCAATCATGGGGAGGCCGGGGCATGATGGGGTATGTGAGAGAAGGACAGCGTTAATTCAATTCAATTGAAATTCAATTTCTCCCGTTTTTACTTTTAATTGTCCGAAAGATGATGGAGAAAACGTTTCCAATCCGTACCGAAGATCGAATGTATTGATAGTTCAACCCGGGGCACCCTGGGGTGCTAGAAAAAACGTAAAAGAATTTTTTTTTTTTTACGGATGTACATTTATATGAGACGTCAACTTGGCCGATACACTGCCGCGTATCTTAATACTGCAGCACAACTCATTTCAGGTACTCTTATAATATATAAAAAAATGGAGGATCAAAATTTCGAATCTTTTCAGGGTACCCCATCGTGCCCCGGATACGTCATGTCCCGGTCTTCCCTGCATGTCATTTTTTTTTCTACTGCTGCATCTCTAAATTCAAAACGTTCAGTCCTGCTTGTCAGTATGACAGTTGAAGATTTATTTGAACCATTGGAATTGTACTTACATATTTTTTTCATCATTCGCCAAAGCGCCGCGAAAGTGTCCCTGCGGGAGCGCATACTCCAGGGAAAGGGGAAAAAGGAAGAAAGGAAGAAAGCTCGTTTCTATGGTAACAAGGGATTCAGAACTCGTAACATTCGTTTTTCCTCAATATCGCGCGAATATTAAGGAATAGCTCGATGGTATTCCCGTATTTGCGGACAGAAATGAGCCATTCGTCTCGTTCTTGCTCAACAGCCACGAGAATGAGGTACTGTCTATGCATGGCACGACGTTCTCCACACCACCAAGGTTTACACGGTCCCTATAAATAATATCCTTCTTCGTTCTCCCTCAACCCCCTTTCATCGGCTCTTCGCTTCTCTAGTCTCTCCCCCTTTCCTCTCCTTTTTCCCTTTTTTCCCCCCTTTTCACAGTTTTTTTTTTATTTCTCTGACCACGCTTGCCTTTCGTTTCTCACTTCGGCCTTTTCCACTGCCCGGATATTTATTACTGAGGCGTGATCCCGTGGAAGACGCTACTCTAGGAAAATTGTACTTCCGGGATAAATCTCAGTTCTGGATCGATAAACGAAAACGACGAGCCAAGACTTTTCAGCGGTTTTCCATTTTCATTCTTGAATCTTACTGTTCACTCTTTTGCCTTTTTAGTTGCTGTTGTTGTTGGTGGGGAAATGGCATGATGAGTCAATTTGTCAGCCAACGAATTCAGAGTTGTTTTTCTTCTTCTTCTTTTTTTTTTTGCCATTTTTTTTTTCGGGGCTTCGTGATTAACCGCAACCGCAAGACTCCCACAGTGAAGCAGAGGAACAGGGGTCAGGAAGCAGTTATTTTATGACGACAGTCAATGTCGTGACAGTGAGTACACAGGAAATGTCATTTGGTTATGTTTGGAGAGATGAGGGGGTTTTATGGTGTTATGACAAGTTTCGTTTGTGGATGTCATGTGATCGAACCCATTTCGTGGAACAACAATCAATAGTTTGACTTAATTATCAATTTTTTTGGAAATGTTCAATAAAATATGTTTCATTTCCAGAAGATATATATCTGACATATATATAATACATAAGGACGACCTGGGGAAAATGGGATACTATCGGAAAAACCCTTTAAGAAGAAATGGTAAAAGCTATCCCAGTGTTTTTTACAAATCTGATTTTTAATTTTAATTATGATTTTTAATTATTGAGGGGAGAGATATAAAAATATAAATGTATAAATATAAATAAATTTTGTAGTTATATAAAAATATAAATCATATGAGCATATGATTTTTTTCGTGAGGGGTCAAAGGGTGAAATTTTTTTAATTGACGAAAATGAAAAAAATGAGAAAAAATGGAAAAAATGGGAAAAATGGAAAAAATGGAAAACCGAGGGAAATGGTGAAAAATTGATGGCCAAAGGTATAGGGTTGTGTTGTAGTACGTCTTACACCCCGACGTGTTGTTTCTTGTTGCTGTATCCCAACGACGTACTGGCGACAAAAATAACGTATGATTGAGTGAACGCCGCGAGGGATTTACCATCGTTCAAGAGGATGGAAAAGGAGGTGGAGGAAACGGCAAGGAACATCAAGGGAAAACGACGATAGAGGGATGGACGACATTTAGCTAGTGGGTACACCCTGCAGTGCCTCGCGGGAACCGAAACATCGCTGTCAAGCATTTTTGCCAACAACTTATTTATTTTTATTTTCCTTCCTCCTCCAGTGTCCCCTCGCAAACTCTAATTTATTTTCGAATTCGCCGTTAGACGAATGTTTGTGTTTGGAAGGAAAAAAATAAAGTAAATAATAGAGAGTCTCCTTTACTTTTCCATTTGAACCAAACGAAATCATCGATAATCGGAGTTCGATCAAGTAGACGTAACCTCTGACCCTCAGCCAACTTCCTCCACCCACTCCGCCTTCCTTCCATCTCTCAACCTATAGGGGGATAGGTTTATCCGACATTTCCGACGATATCGTATTGATCGATCTATATGGGGTTACCCCCGAGTAAAATTATTAGTAATGCCATTGCCAATGAAATAACCTACTTCTTCACATGATCATGACAATAAACGGTTGCTCATCTCTAATATATTATTATTTC